GCGAGAACGAGGGGGGATATGAAGGTGATCAATTTTTCGAATTTCACAGAGGATTAGCAGGGTTGCAGCGGCGAGATCGGAGAGAGGGCTGGTCTTGCGATTTGGGAGATGTGCAGAGCCATATCGAGGTGCAGGGAAAAGCCGATGAGCAGAGACGCGTAAAAGATTGGGATTTTTTCACACATTTATTGGGACCAAGGAATGAATGGGATTTTTTCTTCTTTTTGGGCCTGTGAAGTTGGGCTTGTACAGAGTGATCTCGGCAGCTATTTTGGTAGTAATTTTGGCATCAAATTTGGTCACATGGTGGGTCCGTTTCGTGCTGACTTTCCTGACTTTGACAAAGATCACGATGACGACCCAATTTACGACGGTCCACCCATTTTTGATGAGGAGGCTCCGGTGACGAAAACGGGTTCCGTATGGGATGTTGCAACGATTAAGTCTTCGAATGGGAAGCCGTCATTCACACTCGATTTTTTGAGTATTTTGGCCAAAGATAGTTTTTCGGAGCCGAAGCCGATGCCCGATAACTGGTGGGCCATTTTTCGATTACCTTTCGCGAAGTCACCCAACAACGGGATGCTTGGCCGTTGTTATGACTTTTAGAGCGGCAAACGGTGTGGTATATTTTGTGTTACTTCAGTTGTTTCACCTTTGCGTATGGTGACTTGTCAATGTGCCTTCGCAGCAGTTCAATCCTTGGCCGAGGTTATGCTTACGTTCGAGGTTGTTGGCAGACGTTCAACATTCGTGTTCGATCGAGAGAAATGTCCGGGCTACTCCAACGGGAACGTGTCGGATTCGAGGGCGAATCCTGCTCCACCGGGGGAGAATGATGCAGAATAATAATAATATTATTATTATTATTATTATTATTATTATTATTATTATTATTATTATTATTATTATTATTATTATTATTATTATTATTATCATTTAATATTTATTTATATTTAGTGACTTGCTGGACAAGATAGATTTGAGGGTTTGGATGTCTTATTTAAATACCTCTCTTATTTGTTATTCGACAGTAAATTTTGAGAATGACAAATTGTTCGTGTTCTTTCGGGAGAGTATCCCAAGTTCGAGAGAGTATCTCGTTTTATCATTCTCATTCGTAAGTTATCCCTTCATCAGAAACCGTTTCGGCGGGGTTTGTAATCGTTAGATTATCATTTAACGGTTGTGGATAGTACTCAACGGCTACAAACCTCGACGGAATAGTTTCGTAACAAGACTGTAGCATCTTCATAGTTTTTATTTATTTATTATTTACTTATTTATTTACAGTTTTACACAGTTTGAAGATTTTGTATCTAATCATTATTTTTTTTTTCTATTATCTCAAAATTTATAAATTTGCCATTAATTGATGCGAGTTCCATGACTAGCACCGTCAATATTCGCCACGTGTCCCCAGAAACGTGACAGCTGTCGCACCACGCGTGAAAGTAGAATGCCACACAGCAAATACAAAAAGCAGATAAACCTTTAGAATTGACAAATTATCATATCAAAGAAAATACATTAAACATAGAAGATAATAAGCCCCAAAGAAAGGTCAATTAAAAAATGGCGACCAGCAAGAAAGACATAAAGCACGCCACGGCTCAGGCCAAGTTATCGGAAGACGAGGCTCTGAGGGTGAGCTACAAAGCCGGAACGCCCATCGAGGGTGGCAAGATCGCCGATTCTCAGCCGGTGAATCTATTTTCCGGCGCCGGTCGTATTGCAACCGCGCAACGGGAAGATGATGACGAACGGCGTGTTATTGCCGACTCGAAGCCTGTCCATCTTTTTACCGGCGTCGAGAAAGGTGAGGAAACTAGGGAGTGAGGCTCGCCGGTGGCCGGCGGCTTGTTTGAGGAATGATTCTGTGTGGTGATAGTGTAGTTTAGTAGAATTTGGTGTTGTTGTTTGAGTCGGTATGTTTGTTGAATGGTTTCTTGTTTGGTTAGTAATTTCTTACTAATGGAAGGTACCACTAATTGAGGGGAGATTCTACGGTCTTGTTATTGAACCATTCCGTCATAGTTTGTAACTGTTTTGATCAACTATCCACGACGATTATGATGATCTAACGATTATAAATTTTAACGAAATGATTGTGTAACGGAAGTGTAGCATTTCCCCTAATTGAGTTGCAAGTTCTAGTGAGACTCGAGAGCTTTACATTTAAACCTTGGAGAAAGAAAAACTTTGAAAAAAAAGAAGGAAAAAAAAGAGCAAAAGCTGCCACTAAGGTATACACGGACACCGTTATTGGTTGCGAGTTAAAATTGATTAAAGTTTATTAAGTGTTAAAATTGATAAAATAATACTACCTCCTTTTTAAAATAAGTGTCGTTTTGATTTTTTTATTTATCCATTTTACTATGTATCTAGACGTATTTATGTTTAGATACATAGCAAAATGGATGAATCAAAAAAGTCAAAACGATACTTATTTTAAAAAGGAGGGAGTAGTATTTAGAATGTAATGATTATGTTGATGAGTGTAAAATTAGGAAACAAATGAAAGCATTAAATAGTTAAAAGTATGTGAATAGATTGATAACAAATCATGTTGATAGAATGATATTATTTAATTATATTGATAATATTAAAAATATTAATTTTGATAAATATATTATTTAATTATATTAATAATACTGAAAATATTAATTTGGAAATCAAACTAATCACGCAACCAATACCTTAAGAGTGTGACTTTAAAAAACCAATAACGCCCTAAGAGTGTGCCTTTAAAATGATCAAACTTATTTTATAAGTTTTTTTGGTAGATTTTTTTAAAATGATCAAATTTATTTTATAAGCTTTTTTTAAAATGATCAAATTTATTTTATAAGCTTTTTTTAGTAGATTTTTGTAATAATTAATTTGGTCAAATACTTCTATTATATTAGTTAATTTTTCAACGAGCTATCAAATAAAATCTTAAAATTTCTTAGTTATCAACCTGTTTTACTAAAAAAAAAA